CTGCACCATATTCAAACGAAGGAAAAAAAAAAAGAGTGTTGAGAGAAATGTTGATGCGAGTTGCATAGTTGTGCCGGGTTGGAAGAGTTATCCAACCCTGGCTTTGTGTTTAAGAGGTGGAGGGGACGCCCAAGCCTTTGTGTGAGAGTTTTAAAACAGAGAAAAAAGTTGATTCAGACGCCTGAGGAGGCGTGAGCTGAACGGAGAAAAAGTTGTACCGGGATGGGAAGAAGTCCCATCCCAGTTGTTTTTGTTGTTTTTGAAGAGGTGTGAAGAAGCCCATCTTAGTTATTAGAACAATTTTTCTGCAAGCAGATAGTCCGAGTGATGTTTTGACCACTTTTGCAGGCAATAGAGGTCAGAAAAGATGGCACCAGTGACAGGACTTCAGCATAAAATCAGAAAATGCAATTACAGGCTCAATGGAGTAAACAAGAATGTGAGGACCGCCTGCTTGTTGAATGGACGGCTCGGTGCTCAGTTTGTGAGAATGAGCAGTGTAGCTGACGGGGCGGTGGAGCAGGTGTCCCGGTTGCGAGGAAAATTTAAGAGAAAGAAAGAGAAATGTGTTGAGGAAGTTCAGGAGAAAGAGAAACAGTTTTTACAACGAAAACAGTTGTTATCTGATGCGCAGACAGAGTGCAAGCTAGACCGCTTGATTAATGTAGCTGAGGGCGCGGTCGGTCAGATATGCAGGCTTAAAAGGAGGAAGAAAGAGCGTGATGTTTCGCCGGAGCGAGTCGGAGCTTATGTTGCAAGGTTGGCTGACGGATGGAATCCGTCGAGTTTGGACGGTTACATCTCAAGAGACAAAGAAGTTGTTTACTTGTCTAAAATATCACAACCCACAGATGCTCGAGTGTCGAGGCTGTTAGATAAAGGTGGAGGTCAGGTAATGAATTCAGCGCATCGAGTCGGAGCTTTGCAAGACTCGAGACCGTTGTTTGAAGTTTGTGCTGATTTACAGGGTCATCGGGTGACCGTAGGGGAGTGCGAGCAGAGATGTGCTGAGGAATGCGCTCGCTGTGCGTTCACAGAGAGGAACACAGAGCTGAAAACTGTGAAAAAATCATTTAGCCAACCCATGGGTCGTGGGCTGAGAAGGGACGGCCAGAAAAACATGCAGGAACTTACTCGTTCTGCTTTCTGGAGGGCATTAATGCAGGCAGGAGTGCATGCAGCTGAGATGAATGATGTGTCAGCTGAAGAGCTGAGGGCTGGAAGCCATTATTTGGATTAAAAGGGGCAAAAAGTAGGGTCCAAAAGTTGACATCAACACTCTGAAAAGCAGATATTGTCAAACATTGAACATCAAAGGTCCAGAATTAGAGAGCCCAGATCTTGACGTTAAATTAAAAAGTCCCAAAACCTGAAGGTGATATTGATATTAAAATGCCTAAAGTCAAGATGGTTTAAGGGGAAAAGGGTGGATTTGAAATGTCTAGAAATAAATATGTTGTTTGGATGTGTTAAATTAAGCTGTTTGCTTTGAAGAAAGTGCATTGTATGTTGTTTGGAAGGAAGTGCAACATATGTTGTTTATAAATGGTTTACCTGCAGCTATAGTTTTGACAGCATCTAAAAACAACTCTAGAAATATCCAAAAATATCTGAGATAAAAAGAATTTCACCATCTTGTTTTGCAGATGTTTCACATTTAAAGTGAAAGTTCAGCTCTTTTCAAGAGGGGTTCTGTGGAAAAAGTTAACATCTCAGTTTTGAAAACTGATGAGTTAAACATTTTGAGTGGGGCCAAGACTAGAAGAAGGATTTCTTTTTAATAAATAAAGTTAATTATTGACACTTTTTGCATGAAGTGGTTATGTATGAAGAATTGTTTGATTAGTTGTAGAACAAGACAGATGAAACTGCAAATACAACGATGTGAAGCATGCAGCATCAGAAGAGAGAGAGTCACAATAGTAAAATGCAGGGACATATAGGGGAAAAGGGGCCATATCAGATCTGGCAAACGGATTTCATTGGCCCTTTGCCATGTCACAGGGGTGTAGATATGTATGTACGGCTGTAGATACATATTCAGGTGTGTTGGTGACTCATCTTTGTAAATATGCAAATCAGACATCTACTTTAAAAAGTCTTAGTATGATGAAATAATTTTATGAGGGTCCCCTTCAGATACAGATAATGGGACCCATTTTACTGGAAACAGGTGAAAGACTGGTCAGCTGAAAAACGTGTTGAATGGATTTATCATATTTCCTTATCACCCACAAAGCTGCTGGGCTGATTAAGAGAATGGATGAACTGTTAAAAAAAAAAAAAGAAATGCTGAGAAAATGAAAGACATGATTTGACAAACTGAAAAGTAAATTTGTTGCAGGCTGTGTTTCAATTGAATGATACTCCAGAGCTGCCTGTGAGAAAAAAAGAACCAATTAGAAAAATTGATGACAGAGCAGAGCTGCCTGTCAGAAGCAACTCCTGGGTCTGAGGACTCTAGAGCCAGTGACAGTGATTTCAGGTCAAATTCAAGCTATAAAATTGGTCTGGGTCTGCCATATCCCAGAGGCAGGAGAAGGAAAAATGGGTAAATGTACCAATTCATAAGTGTTATTAAAGAGAAAACTAATTCTTCTCTCTTTTTGTTGAAAAGCAGTTTTCTTGCTTCCACAGCTTGATGCTCTCCTGGTCTTGGTTGTTTGGACGATCAAGGTCGCCCCGAGGAGCTGGTGACAAGGTGCCAAGTCAGATCGGAGTGCAGGCTGTTTGGGCATCACGTGCCTTGTTGCAGATGGACAACGCCTCATCAGCAACACCAGGACGTGTCGTGGAGGAGGATCAGGTGTTCACTTTGGTTGAAAAAAAAAAAAGATGCAAGCAAGATCTGAGTGCAAAGTGACTTTTGGCATGCTACCACAGGGAAACCATCCCAGTGGTACCTTGAATGTCAGATTAGAATTGTGTGGAAACCCCACTGTGTAACATGTGTGGGAACGGTACATGCTAAACCAGATGAAAGAAAAAAAAAAAAAGGGAGAACAAAGTTTGATTTTTACTGCCAATTAAGGAGAAGGAGGAGACGTGCTTCGTTGGCAGTTACTCAAGAAAGGTTCTGGATACCATCAGTTGTCATGACTCAAGAAGAAACGGTCAAAATACTGATAAAAGAAATAAACTTGCAGCCAAAGATGTGGGGGAGCACAGAAGAAGTGCTCTCCAACATAATTGAAGCTTTGAACTTGTTTTCCTGTGTACCTTGCAGTTTTTTTTTGTACAGCTGCAGGAGGAGCCCTGCCAGAGGGTGGTGGTCACTACATCGAATCATCATAAGTGGAGGAGAGTATGGAACATTTAAAACCTGAATTGACAAAATGTAATGAAGGCAACCACAGTTATGCAAATATCACATTTTGCCTTTAATAACTGTACAAGGACACTGGTTTTAAAAAAATATATATATAAAAGTACAGGGTGAGTGGTTTGAGCCACAGACAAATCTCACATATGACATGCAACTATGTGAGACAGCTGATAAAAGAGTGATATGTATGTTGAGACAAGGTATTGTGTGATTGGACTCATGAACTAGGCTAGAGAACTAGTTTGATAGTAGTGATATGTATGTTGAAACTAATCATGTTAACCCATGTTTAACCAGAGACAAGGTATTGTGTGATTAGACTCATGAACTAGGTTAGAGCAACAATAAAAAGTACCTAAGGTGCCTTTCTCTGGATGT